CACAACATTTTTTTCTCTCATTGTCACTATTAGCTGATTTCTGCTGCTTCGTTTTATTGATGATTTGGAAGCCTCTTCTAGCCAGTGTTGATAAGTAGGTCTTGTGATAGGCCTCTCTCCAACATCTCCTTGGCCCATGCTCTAGGAAAGGAAAGGAAGGCCATGAATGTAGATTAAAAAAAAAAAAAGAACAGGTCCTGGTAGCCTCAAAAGCTCAGGAAAGTACCATAAAATACCGTTGAGAATTCACAAAATTCATCTAATTAATTACCTTTCTGATGAAATCTGATTACAGTATCAGCTTTTTATGCAAGGTGAGCATTCTTCATATATAGGTTTTGGCATAGTGGTTACACATTGGGCTGCTCTAGGTCAGCAGTTCAAAACCAGCTGCTCTACTGGAAGAAAGACAAGACTTTTTACTCCCATAAAGAGTTAGCTAACCAGTCAGGGTATAGCATTGATGAAACACAAACTTGCTCTGGTTCTTTAATGCTTCCTTCCCACCCCCGCCACTACCATGAATCCAATTCTATCTTACAAATCTGGCTAGACCAGAACATGTATATAGTACAGATAAGAGTCCACAACACAGGGACTCCAGAACAGATAAATCCCCCAGGACCAATAAGGGGAGCAGCAATACTAGAGTAAGGGGGTGGGGTGGGGTGGGGGAGTAAGGGGGATGTGACCACAGTGATTAATGTATGGTCCCCATGCCAGGGAGACGAACAGCAGAAAAGTGGGTAAGATGAGACAGCAGTTGGTGTAAGACATGAAGAAAAAATGATAAATTATCAAGGGGCATGGGGAAGGGAGGGGGATAAATGAGGAGTTGATATCAGGGGCTTAAGTAGAAAAATGTTTTGAAAAAGATGACAGCATATGTGCAGATGGAAGTGCTTGACAAAATGGGTATAGGCATCGATTGTGGTAAGAGCTGTACGAGCCCCCAATAAAATGATTTAAAAAAAAAGAGTTTTAGCCTTGGAAACCCATGAGGGCAATTCTGCGTGGCGCTACAGTATTGCTGTGAGTTGGAATGAGCTGTAGAAACTTTTATTAAACCCAAATTATGACAATATTAAGCTGTTATTTCTCAGCTGGTCTTCCATCTTGATCTCTAAACTTCGGAGGCTGTATTTCTGTCTCTAACCCTTCCCTGGATTGACACAGGCACTGTAACAGTGGGCTAACAGCTGTGAGGATAGCACAGGAGCACGCAGTGTTTCGCCCTGCTGTACCCAGGGGCTCTCTCATTCTGAACCTGCTTGACTGTGCCTAACCACAGCAACCCTGCCCTGAAGAGTCCTGTGCATGCAGAACAGCAGTTTGTGAATCCTTGAAGGACTGAGTCTGAAGGGTCAAGGCTGGAGGGTGGAGGGACCCAGGTTGCTCAAGCAAGTTCTCAGAAGACAGCTTTTGCTGCCTTCGGAGAATGAGTGGGTGCATTGTTATGATGGGAAAAAATTCCTTGGCACAACTTTCCTGACCTTTTTTCACCACTGCCATTTTTCACACACACACACCCTTTTTAACTCATTTTATTGGGGGCCCATACAATTCATATCACAATCCATACACACATCCATTGTGTCAAGCACATTTGTACATCTGTAGCCATCATCATTCTCAAAACCTTTGCTTTCTACTTGAGCCCTTAATTTCAGCTCCTCATTTTTCCTCCTCTCTCCCTGCTCCCTCCTTGTCATGAACCCTTCATAATTCATAAATTATTATTTTGTCATATTTTACACTGTTCGACATCTCCCTTCACTCACTTTTCTGTTGTCCACCCCCCAGGGAGGGGAGGTTATATGTAGATCCTTGTAATCGGTTCCCCCTTTCCACCCCACCCTCCCAGTATCGCTACTCTCACCACTGGTCCTGAAGGGGTCATCTGTCCTGGATTCCCTGTGTTTCCAGTTGCTATCTGTACCAGTGTACATTCTCTGGTCCAGCCAGATTTGTAAGGTAGAATTGGGATCAGAAGCATTTAAGAACTAGAGGAAAGTTATATGTTTCATCGTTGCTGCCCTGCCACCTGACTGGCTCATCTCCTTGCGACCCTTCAGTAAAGGGGTGTCCAGTTGCCTACAGATGGGCAGCACTCACCCTCATTTACAATGATATGATTTTTTGTTCAATGCCGATACCTGATCCCTTCGACACCTGATGGTCACACAGGCTGGTGTGCTTCCATGTGGGCTTTGTTGCTTCTGAGCTAGATGGCCACTTGTTTATCTTCAAGCCTTTAATACCCCAGACACTATATCTTTTGATAGCCAGGTACCATCAGCTTTCTTCTCTACATTTGCTTATGCACACATTTTTCTTCAGTGATCATATCAGGAAGGTGGGAACCCACTGATAAGATTTTTTGTTCTTTGATGTCTGATACCTGGGCCCTTCTACACCTCGTGGTCACACAGCTGGTGTGCTTCTTCCATGTGCGCTTTGATGCTTCTGAGTTAGATGGCTGCTTGTTTATCTGCAAGCCTTTTAAGACCCCAGACACTATATCTTTTGATAGCCAGGCTCCATCAGCTTTCTTCACCACATTTGCTTTTGCACACATTTGTCTTCAGTGATTGTGTAGGGAAGGTGTGCATCATGGAATGCCAATTTAATAGAACAACATGTTCTTGCACTGAGTAAGTACTTGAGTGGAGGTCCAATGTCCATCTGCTGCCTTAATACTAAACCTATAAATATATGCACGTAGATCTATTTCCCCACCATCCTATTTAAGTATATTTACGTATGTACATGTCTGTATTTAGACCTCTATAAATACCCTTTTTCACCTAGTTCTTTCCTCAGTTTCCTTTTACTTTCCTCTTGTCCCACTATCATACTCAGCCTTTATTTGGGTTTCAGTAATTTCTCATTGCCCTTGCTGAATCCTTACCAGGCTTCTCACACCCTTCTCGCCACTAATTTTGGATCACTTATTGCTCCCCTGCCCCTGGGTTGATCATTACTACTTCCTTACCCCCACCTCCCCCTCTCCCATGTCCCCCTGGAACCATCAGTCCCGTTGTTTTCTCCTCCAGACTGTTCATCTAGCCTATCTTATCTAGATAGATCTGTAGAGATAATAATGTGCACCAAAAAACAAGGCATAGCAAGACAAGGCGACAAATGAGAACACAGCGATAACAACAACAAAAAACCAATGATCCATAAAAGAATAAATTAATTAAAAAAGAAAAAATTTTTTAAAGAAAGAAAAACCTGTAAACAGATCAAGGTCTGATTTTTGAACTCTAGGCGTGTCCTCTGGTCAAGTCTGATGGGGTGCCACGCTCTGGCCCCAGAGTCTATCCTTTGTACTCCCTTGGGAGCTCCCTGCTCCGCTCTTTCCGTTGCTCTGTAGCACGCCTTTAGTGTTTTTGCATCCGTATCAAGGGGTCAATCCGGGCCAATCCCAACACTGAGTCTCCATTTTTCATTTTTTTAAAAGTTTCTTCCCAATCTCCCATGCTTGTCCTTATCTTTCAAGAAAACCTATCAAGATGACCCACAAAAGAAATCACCAGGAACTTCTGATCTGACCTCTGTCTTGAATTTCCTGCCCCAGGAAGCCACTGTTTTGATTGGGCTCCGTTCTCTGGATCATATTGGTAAATCCAAGACTCATACTTGGTTACCATTCATTCCACAAAATGGTCTTCATTATCTTCTATCTTAAAAGACTAATGGAGGGGGTAAAAAAAAACTAATGGAAAGATTGGCTCTTTGAGCTAAACTGATATTCATGCAATAGCTTTTGACACCCATTGAGTCGAAAGCTCACTAAAGCCAAGATGTTTGCTTAAAATTGACAATGCCAAGCCATGTAAAACGCCACCTTTAGCACCTAGCACACCACTGGTGATTATAAAGGACTTCCATGAGTTTCAGGACATCAGCCACAGTTTCTTCATTCTTCAAGGTTTATATAATCTTTCCTGGACTTAATTTTTGAGGTCTTGACAACTTTCCTTAAAATACTTAATCCATGTAAAAAGATGGAGCGGCATTCTCCTATAAATTTGTTGCAAAGCTTCAATGATTTGTGAAGATGTTCACTTGTGCTCTGTAAGTCATTTGATAGTTGCCCTGATCTCAAGATTGTTTTCTTCCAGAGCACAAAAAGTATCTTTATTTTTTCCCCTGAAAACACCCTGAGACTAACAAGTACTTTACTGAGAGAACTTGTCTGCAGCCATTTACTGAATTGCAGGGGCATGTTTAAACATATTTGGTTTGGAATAAACCTGTGCAGAAACCTTAATGTTAGTTTGGTTAATTTGGTTCACAGACCTGTGTGAGTCTTGAAGACCTGAACCTCACTTAACAAAGCCCCTTTCGATGGCAGATTCTCTTAAGAAACCCAAACTGTGGGCTTAAATCTGACTTTAGAAGGTAAGCCAATTTAGACTAGGGAGTTCCATGGTGAGCATCTGCTTGTTTTCTCATGTTCCTCAGGGTGCCTTCCTGCATTAAGCCATCTTTCCATAGCTGTGAATGAACTGGGCCAAGCCGGTTGCTATCAGAGATGTTCTGTCATGACAAAAGGCTCAAGCCTGCGGGAAAGGGATGGGGCTGGATTGTAATGACTGTTGGGCTCCCCGATCCTGTTCTTTGGGTTGGTGTGCTGGCACCACTGAGTGTAAGCCTCAGTGAGGATTCCCTCTCACCTCACCCTGGCGTGACTGTGGCAGTTTCTATTGGTGGTGGGGGCAATGGGGCGCTGGTGATGCCATGAGAAGACAGGCCCTTCTGCAGACCTTAGATGACTTGGGTAGCAGTAGGACTGAACAGAGGAGGCAGGTCCTGGGCCTGAGTCAGGAGCCCATTATTATGTGGCTGAACTACTGAAACTTCCTGAGACTAGATCAGTGTGTCCTAGTGGCCACAGTGAGAATTGAGTAAGCCCAGAAACTTGGTGAAAACTGTATAGGTATATGCGTTCTATATTAAAGGACACCATTTCCTTCTTTCCCTTGCTTTAGGCTCCTGGTAGAGTTACACAGCTCTGTCGCCGGTATAGTGATGCACCACCATTGACGTTAGAAGGAATCAAGGACCGTGTTCTTTACGTCTTGAAACTCTATGATAAGATTGACCCAGAAAAGGTAATTGGTAGTGGTTTAATTTTATTTAAAGAATGAGTATTTACTAAACTGGTGTGTAAAATTCAAAGGGTCGGTCACACACACACTCACTCACACTCTATAAGGCACACAGGTGGCATAGGCTACATGTTAGGCTGCTAACCACAAGGTCAACAGTTCAGAACCACCCGGTGCTCTTCTGGAGGAAAATGAGGCTTTTTACTCCTATAGAGTTAACAGTCTCTGCCACTCAAGGCCAGTTCTACCCTATCCTATTGGGTTGCTGTGCGTATGCATATGAATTAATGTGATAGACATAAACATCTTCCACCTTTCTAAAAACACATTGCTGTTTCATGCATTGACTCGGTTGTGACAGAAACCCTGTGTGAAACACTGCCTGGCCCTGTGCCATCCTCAACTCTGTTGATGTTTGACCCATTGTTGTGGCCACTTGTGTCACTCCATCTCTGAAGGTCTTCCTCTTTTCCTTTCTTTTTAAAATCATTTTACTGGGGCTTCATGCAACTCTTACCACAATCCATCCATCCATCCATTGTATGTCAAGCACATTTGTACATTTGTTTCCCTCATCGTTCTCAAAGCACTTGCTTTCTACTTGAGCCCTTCGTATTAGCTCATTTTTTCCTCTTTGTCACTGACCCTCTAATTCATCATGGCGGCCTTCACCAACGACTGATTCCTCCTGATCACATGTCCCAGCGTATATACGGCAGGCTCACCACCCTCTCTTTTAAGGAGCATTTTGGCTGTACTTCTTTCCAGACAGATTGGTTGGTTATTCTGGCAGTCCATGGTAGTTTCAGGGTCTTTTTTGGTTTTGTTTTGTTTTGAACCGATACCATAATTCAAATGCACAAATGACGTTTGTCTTTAAAAAAAAAAAAGTATACAGTTTATTCCTCACACCACAATTATAATACCATTTTTATTGTGAACATGTGGATTTGGCTTTATAAAGAGTTTTATTCTAAAATAAATCAGTTGTAGAAGGAACAGGATTGTTAAGTTTTAATAATAGCTATTAGTTTGGTATGGGAGCATAGTAATTGTTTTAGAAGATATGACACCTTTGCCTTTTAACATACTCAAGTCTTTTGCAACAGATTTGCCCAAACGTAACTAATATGTTGCTTCATTTCTTGACTGCTACTTTCATGGGTTTTGATGGTGGATCCAAGTTAAATGAAATCCTGGACAATTAAATAAAAAAAACAACCCTTAGTAGTAGTATATTAAGGAGCCCTGTGAGTGTAGTTTGACATGCTCGTTGCTCGTCAGAGGTTGATGATTTGGGCCCAGTAGACACTCTGCAGGATTTGAAAGATGTGGCCGTTTACTTCCAATAAAAATCTGCCTTGAAAACCCTATGGGCAAGACTGCTTTGTTCCGCAGTGTCGCTGTGAGTTGTAGTAACTCCATGGCAATGGGTTTGGATTTGGTAGTGTTATGAACATTGTTAGTACTTCTCTTTTTTTAAGCCCCTTTTGGAATTTTTCTCATAGTAAAAAATTTCTCCGTTCAGAATTGAATTTGCTCTGTGGATGTATAATTGGCTTTTTGATAGGGGTTTTGCAAAATTGTTCCTGGTGATCTTGAGGGACAAATCAAAAGCCAGGTGGTTAAATCAACCAATCTGTAGCTACCGACACTTTGCCAACATTCTGCTGTTCTTGAGGTAATCTTCCTCTTTGAAGGAATCTTCTTTTGCCAACAAGGTGACAAGAAAAGAACTCCTTCAGCTGTCATTAAGAGCAATTATCAAAAAGATGTAAAATCTGTTGCTAGCTTTGTGTTTATTTTCTGATTCAAAACCAGGTTGAGTTAATATGTCAATCACATGAAGCTCCATGATTAAGTAGCTATTGCTTAATAGGTCCTCTATATAAAAGAGGTCTTCTGTATATATTAAAGTTTTTTTTTCTTATTTTAATAATTTTATTGGAGGCTTGTACAACTCTTATCACAATCTATACATCCATCCATTGTGTCAAGCACATTTGTACATTTGTTGCCATCATCATTTTCAAAACATTTTCTTTCTACTTGAGCCCTTGGTATCAGCTCCTCATTTTTAACCCTTTCCCCCAACCTCCATCCCTCCCTCACGAACCCTTGATAAATTATAAATTATTTTTTCATGTCTTACACTGACCTATGTCTCCCTTCACCCACTTTTCTGTTGTCCATCCCTCTGGGAGGGGGCTTGTATGTAGGTAATTGTGATCAGTTCCCCCTTTCTTCCCCCACCTTCTCCTTACCATCCTGGGCCTGAGGGGTTTATCTGTCCTGGATTCCCTGTGTTTCCAGTTCTTATCAGTACTGGTGTATCTACTTTGGTCTAGCCAGATTTGTAAGGTGGAATTGGGGTCATGATAGTGGGGGCGAGGGAGGAAGAATTAAAGAACTAGAGGAAAGTTGTATGTTTCATCGGTGCTACACTGCACCCTGACTGGCTCGTCTCTTTCTTATGACCCTTCTGTAAGGGGATGTCCAGTTGCCTGCAGATGGGCTTTGGGTCTCCATTCTGCACTGATTCACACTGATAAGATTTTTATGTTCTGGGTAAAAGGGTTTTATATGATTGTGAAGTTGTGTTATTATCATGCTATTTGTTAACTTATGAAGCAAGTACTGTACTTCACTTTTAAATTTCTTCTAAAAATACGTAAAACATTTTTTATTTGATGTTCCTTTCTTGCAGCTTTCAGTAAATTCCCATTTTATGAAAGACCTGGGCTTAGACAGTTTGGACCAAGTGGAGATTATCATGGCCATGGAGGACGAATTTGGTAACATAAACAGGCTTAGTCTTGGTTTTGCATGTACTGAATGTTGATGAATTTGAATCAGATGTTAATAGAAACATTTAATAGTTAATAGTCATCCCACTCGCAGGTGAAAACAAAGATCAGGAACAATACATTAATTTATTTATTCATTCAGAAAGTAGCAGTGCAGGGTTCCCAGAGGACCCCATGTGAGAGCACAGGGTTGCATGAGAAGAAAGGGCCTGGAGGAGCATGGTACTTAGACCCTTCAGATGGACGTCCGAGGTGGAGCTCAGAAACTGCACGAGCTAGGCCTGTGTAGTTATGTAGCTGTGCCCTGAAGGGTTTCTGGCCCTGGTCTCCTGCAGTGGCTTGTGTGTGTTGTAAATGAGACATTGATAAGGCTCCCCTTGGGTGAGCTGTTGAAATACTAAGGCAGGAAACTTGTGAAGCATTCTACAGAACAGGACTCAGTTAAAATTTCTCACAGGATTAGGTTGCTTACAAGGATAGTACAGCTTACCTAGTTGTTAAAAGAGCTCAGAGTCTGGAATCGGAGCCTGGGCAAGTAACTTCATCTCTCAAAGCCTATTTCATCAATTGTAAAATGAGATAAGTTGTGAGCCCCATACGATTGGGATTGCTATGAGAACTAAAGGGAAAACGTGTGCAAAGAGATAGGGCAGTGGTTAGGCCAGAGTAGGCACACTTGATGAATATTACCTCTCAGAACCTAACTATTCCTGGTAGACCATTTGGACAAGGAAAGTACGACTGGTTGCCACAGATATGTAATCGCCATGACTGGAGTATACATGTAGAAATTGTTCAATTGACAAATGTTTATATTTTCACAATTAAAAATGTATACACGTATATACCAACTATTCATGAAAAGGAATGAAGTAGGATATTTGCCACACATGGGTGAACCTTGGAAATATGTTGTTGATGCATTGTGTTTCCCTTTATATGAAATGGCTAGAATAGGCAACTCTGTAGAGGCAGAAAGTAGATAGTGGCTGCCAGGAGATAGAAAGAGCTGACAGGGATTGACTGACTGCTGATGGCTACTGGTTTCTTTGGGGTATGGTGAAAATGCTCTGGAATTAGGACAATAACCTTTTAAGTATACTACAAACCATCAAATTATGGGGTGAAATGGGAACCCTTATCCATTGCTGATGGGAAAGCAAAAAGGTATAGCCGATGTGGAAAAAATGCTGCAGTTCTTCAAAAACCTGAAAGTGGAACTCTGCCATATGGCTCAGGTTTACTCTTAGGTACATACCCAAGATTTGAAAGTAGAGACAAAAGAATTAGGATGCCACTGTTGATGACTGCATTATTCACAATAGCCCAGGGTACAAACCCTCTAAATGCCATCAACAAACGAGTGGATAAACAACATGTGATACCTATAGGAAAGAGGCAGCCATGGTACATGGCCACAGTTGAGAAGGGATTATGCTGAGGGAAATCATTCAGTCTCAAAAAGACAAAGAATATGACTTAATTTTTCATTTGTAAAATGATGCGAGGGGGCAAATTTCAGAGACCCACTGTGTTACTGGTTATGTGGGGTGAGGGAGCAGAAGGGGAAACTTATAGTGATACCTTGGTTGTCAAACTCTATTCATTCCAAATTCGTGTTCGAACACCAAAAAGTTTGAGAACTGAACATATTTTTCCCATAAGATATATGGAAAAACCAAATAATTGGTTCTAAAACCCAAAACTATACTTATGAATGAACTATGGATGTGTCTAGCCCCCTTGCAGATAGATCCGTCTTGGATACACTATCGCCATTAAGTTGTTTCTGTTCACACTTTTCAATAGGCATTTTAATCATTATTATGTTGCAGTTCCTGAAAATGTTGATAATGTTGACTTAGCTGTGTTGTTTTCGGGTGCCAAATCAGACAAGTGGCAACCTGACTCAGATTTTGCAATGATTTCTTTCTTGAGTGCTGTCATAGATCTCAGTTTTCCTGTTAGCTTTACTGATGGTGTTATTTTTTTCTTTGGAGCCATGTCTACGATATTTTATGCAAATAAGGGGCAAGAAAGCCCAGTGATGGATGTTTTAATACACTGACACAAGCACTCTATATTGTCTGAGCGAGAATGGTGCTTGAAGGAAGCGCCTCCCCTTTGTGTCCATGGCGTGACACTCCCTCTGCGGGACTCACTCTCTACTATATATAGGGTTTTTTCCAGTCACATTTTCAGTTCAACTATCGAGCAGAGGTATGAACACTGAGCAGATTTTGTTTTGAACTTTACTGTTTGAGTAGTAGAAAGTTTAAGCTTGGCGCTACTTGACAACCAAACTATCATTGTATAATTGGTGGTGGGAAAACTGCATTAAGGTTAGGTTGCAATTGCTATTAATAAGTTGTATACCTGTAAAAAGCTGTGTGATAGATTTACAATGCGCGCCCCCCCCCAAAAAAAAAAAAAAAAAAAGGAAAAAACAACCCTGCTAAGGCCACTTATAAACAGCTAAACACCTCATAGGATTGAATTTCTTGATTTGGAGATTGGGGGTCCTTGTTTCATGGGGTGGGGCATTGCAGTTAATTGTCCTAAGGATGTATTTGGTGCTTCCTAGTTCACTCCGTAGTGCTTAGGGTCTTAAAAACGTGCAAGTGGCTATGCAAGGCACAATTGGTATCTGTTTACCTGGAGCAGCAGAGGAAGGGGTGGGAAGGGAGTCAGGAATAGGTGAAGGCTTAGTGTATGGCTTATTGTCTCTGAACAACTGCCTACTTTACCAGAAGACCAGAACCAGGTGGTGCCTGGCTACCATTCCTGCACATTTTGATCAAAGATTCCATACAAGGGTCCTGATGAAAAGGGGGGAAATGTAAACCAGAATTTTAATTTCTCATGGACTCCAGGTGTTCTGGAACCATAAAGGGTGAACCCCTGAAACTCTTGCCCTGAGGCAAACAAAAAATTCACCCTAAATAGTATTTCAGCTTAACCAGTTTTTACTGTTATGTCTGTCTTGAAGCAGTAGTGCTCTTTTATAACACCTTGAAAGCTTAGATAGGAACTTTATGGGGCGTGGGTTTATGTTGGTGAGGGTGGAATATGACAGTAAAAGGTGGGACTGGCTTACAAGCTGAAGCTATAACTGGGGCCACTAAAATGTAGATGTAGAAACTGGAATTGGTATATTGCTGTATATATTGTCAGCAATCAAATATACACAGTTTAGGAGGGAAAACATCCAATTGTATTCTTTTAAAGATTCAACTGTTTACTTTGTATGTGATGGTATATTAATTATATCTTAAACATACTCATCTTGTACTATTTTTTAAATTAAAAGATAATTTTATTTGGGGCTCTTATAGCTTACAACAATTCATACATCAATTGTACCAAGCATATTTGTACATATGTTGCCACCGTTTTTGTTTTCTAGACATTGACTTTCTATTTAGCTCTTGGTATCAGTTCCTCTTTTTTCCCTCTTCCCCACTACATATTCTTGAGAACTTAGATAGCTCAAACTCTAAATGGCATCCAAGGTTGCCGGAAACTTGTGACATGCTTGTGGGTGCTAATGGATGTCACTTGGTTTTAGTTCTAAAGGATTTGCATGTTCTATACTCGCATCATTGTAATTTCTTTTTTTAGGTTTTGAAATTCCAGATATAGATGCGGAAAAGTTAATGTGCCCACAAGAAATTGTAGATTACATTGCAGATAAGAAGGATATATATGAATAATGTATCAGGTAAGTAATTTTACTTATAGAGTGGTGGTGTTCATAGAATTAATGTGTAATTCTTTAACAAACAAGATTCAGAAAGAGCCAGAAATACCTGACAGGTTTTCACCAAGTTATAAAATATAGGCCTGGTCCTGGATCTGCCACTCGAGTGGGCTGCCCCAGTGGACCATTCTCACACAACAGGCAGGCTGGCCTGGGTTGTCCGCCCTCCTTCTGAGACACTGGGTGCCACAAAAGGCTGCGTGGATTAGCTTGGAAACAAGCCGCTGTCTCGGCAAACCCCGCCTGCTGTCAGGTGGCCCAATTCCTAAACCAGGATGATAGGGCTCACGGGTAACAGGATGGACTTTCGAGTCATAGCACCAGAGCTTTGTGCCCATGTCTGCTATCTTTGGTAAGCCTGTTGTTCTTGGCCAACTGCTTGACCAATTTTCATTCCATAAGGACATATCTGAGGTCATAAGATTGAATAGTGTATGTAAATCATCTAATACAGTGCTGAGGCCACTCAATAAGTATTGGTTATTATGTAGTTTTAGAATAAAATCTTTTTCATTAGCATACTTTATTCAGGTCTATAGCTTCAGTTATCCTAAACACGGTACCTCAGAGACTATAGCTTAAAGTCAGTTAACCATGCACTAGAAAGATCGACTGAACCGATTTTGTCTTTGCCAGACCACCTTTCTTCCCTGTGAGAAGACTTGGATGACTCTGGCGAGTGTCTAGAAGTAAGGCGGCCTATCAGCATCATTGCTGGAGTTAACAGAGTAATTCTGTTGGACTTGTATTTAAGTTGTCTTAAGCGTTTTGTCCTTTGAAAATAAATCTATAAAACTAACTTTTTCCCTCAATCTTCAGTTGTCCAATAATGTTTTTTAAATGCCTTTTATAGTGACATTGCTTAATATTTTCAAAGATGTATCTGATCATGCAGTGATGTGATTTTAATTGTTATAAAAAAATGACAAACGAGAACATACAGAGCACCCTCACCTTTCTTCACAGTGGCATTTATTCAGCAGAGTTTGAGAGATCCAACAGTGAGCAGGCCCATACAATCCTTTAGATTGAAATGTATCATTATCTAATCTGGGGTATCCCCTTGATATTCCCAAATTCTTCATCTGGATAATTTTCAACTGGGGGCAGCTACACATTGATGCATTTGATGGGGGGTGAGGGGTGGGTGCGGTGTGCACATGTGCTTGTTTCTATGTAAGAAACACCGTAAGCATTACTGCCATTAAAGTGACTACTGTGCTACATCTAAATCACACACCTGCAGTGAAATGGCTTCATTCACATGGTTCTGGAGCTTTTGACTCCTAAAGGATCCAAAATGAGGTGTGGGGAGCGGGGAATGTAATGAATCACATATAGAAATGTTCTTGGTCTTGTCATTTGGTATCTAAATAATAGCAACAACTTGGTGCAAAAAACTTGTTGGCATGTTCTCTGGCAGACTGCAGCGAACTGGCCATATTCATTACTATAAAGTGTGTGAGTTGGGTGACAGAGTAAATGGAAGCACACGGAGAGTTTTCATGTGTACTCTCAAAAGCCTTTGAGAATTGTTTCTGTGGTAGGCATTGGAAATTTCTTTCCTGACAGGTTGGCTTTTGAGGCCATTCCACCATTCTTCTCATACATCTCCAGCTGAGCCACATCAGTATTCTTGCTGTGCCGCACAAGCAGCAAATATACAGCTTCACTCTGAGCTAAGGACCCACCATAAGCCCCTCTGCCTGGGTGCTAAATAGATGTGCAAACAGACTTATCTGTGAATCCGAGGAGCATGCCAGTCTTGTAAGGGAGACAGTTACAAGTGCCATAGTGCCCAGCTCAACATCACTAGTAATTTGGCTAATCAGCATCCTCTGCTGCTCCTGATGGATAATACACTGAGAACAAGGTCACCTCAGAGATCCTGGGTTAAAAGGTGGAACTTAAATCTGATGTTTAAAAAATCAACAGACCCATAGGGTGGGACTTTTCATACTGCCTGGGCTTTTTCAGTAAGTCAGCCTCCTAAGAAAAAGAAGAGTTAAGTGTTCTGAATTAAAGGACACGAGAAGAACAGAGAATAAAGATTTGGGGGACAACTGAACTGTACACAAATGATAGAACCATGAAATTCCTTAGCCATGTGAGGGGTCTTCAAAAAGTTGGTAGATTTGAGAATGATGAGGGCAAGGAAATGTACAAATGTGCTTTACACAATTGATGTATGTATGGATTGTGATGAGTTGTATGAGCCCCTAACAAAATGATTTAAAAAAAGGAAAAAGTTGGTAGAAAGAATGCTATATCTTTTCAGGTATCTACAGGCTCTCTGTAGCTACCCCCAGGTGTTAATACTACATAATGTTCGGAGGCAGGAGAAAGATGGGGCTTTGTGCTCCCGTTAAGTCTTGGGAACTCACAGTTCTACTCTGTCAGGGAGTGTTCGTGGGGAATATACTAAATATTTTAAGAGTGAAATGGAACTGAATCAGTAAAATAAAGAGAGCAATGTGGGCAAAACTGGCAATAGGTGGTTGGTACATGTTCATTGTGCTATTTTGACTACGCTGACATTTTAAAAAATAGATGGGCAAAAACTCAACATGATACAGGTAACAGGTATATGGATGGCATAATACTGCGTATCTAGTTAATAAGGGATTGGTTACATCGAGATCAAATTTTATCTAATGACACAGCCCTGCCATCAAACTGTTCATGACAATCTGACTTTTTTAAACCGCATTTTCTAAGTTGTAGCGTATTGTGTAATTAGAGGGAAAAGGTATCGTTTCACATATTTAGAAGTATGGGAAAACAGTAGTTGAGCAGCAGCCAAGATGCTGACACTGGGAAAGGATTCAATGGTCAGGGAAGCCCAAGCAGAATTTCCAGTATTATAAAGGAGTTAGCCATGTGGAGATAGCAGGAAACAATGATAAGCAGGTTCATGTACAACTGGGGGTAAGACATCAGTTTTTCAATCTGGACATTTGCTCAAGCATGAATTAGGGTTGGCTGAGGTTGCATGTAGTCGGAACTCCAGAAAAAAATGAGGGCCTTATAATCTGGTCAACTATGGGTCAGCGGGAGCTGCTACAGGATTTCTATAGGGAGCAGAAGACATGATTGGATGCATCAGACACTGATGTCTGGTGATTGCAAGAGTGGGTGAACCTGGTGACTTACTGGAAGAGCCCATGAGCAAAATGAAGAATTAGAGGTTGAGATAAAGATGATGGACTAGAAGACATTCTGGGAATAAAAATGACAAAACTTGATCAGATGTTGGAGATGTAGCCTGAGTTTCTCAACTTGGGTTATTGGTACTTGAGTTGCCATCTAAAAAAGGTAATGAGGATAGGGCCAGCTCTGAAAGGGATCAGTTTGGACATGTTGGATACAGGAGGCATTTTGTGAGGACCCTAGATGGCAACTTCTAACAAGCAAGCACCAGGCCTGGAGTCAGAAGACCGCAATGCTTCATCAGTGCCAGTAACACTGATCATTTGGGTCATTTACAGCCCCTTGAGCCCATTTCCCCTGTGGTGTAAAGCAGGGTAACAAAAGGAACGTGAGGTGTCATTAATACCACTTGGCAAGGTGCCTGGCAATCAGACTGAAGGCAGACTCCCTCATGGACAGCACCTATGGTAGTACCCACTCTTCACCTCTGGGGCCCGGGAGCAGGCATTTTCCAAATAGCATCAACCTGGCACATGGCAGGCTCAAATCCTACTAATTGGCCTGTGCATGTGGCTACATATGGTAGGATAGTCACTGAAAGCCCCGGGCTCACAAGCAAAGGGGCTACAATCTTAAAGGCTAATGGTTATCTCAACTGTGGAGCGCAAAGGTGGGAAGGTAAGCCAGTGACCGCTGTATCTGGAACCTTTACTGGAACTGTTGGAGAAAAAACAATCTTTTGGGGGTTACAAGTGTGGTAGAATCTCAGTCAACACAGTGGACTGGGCCCCAAACTGACTCGAGTTGTTCAAGTCTGGGCTTCCAATATAAGCTCAATCCCTTTTGCCCAAGTCATCTGAATTAGGTTTCTCACCAACCATCAAGTTGGCTTCTGGAGTTTCTAAGTTTTAGGTGGTTGGTCTCCAGATCCTAGTATAGACCATGAAAATCCAAAACATAAACCATACCAAAATTGTGATGAGAAGGGAAGGAAAAGAGTGACAAATGATTTTTAAAAAAAAGAAAACCCAAAACTACAACCAAAATGTAAAGGGGTAAGAATTAGAAGCAAAAATATTGAGTAGTCAACAACCAGCTCTGAAAAGCGTGTAAACATAAAAACAGTATGGTCTGTGTATTATTGATGTTTATAATGGCCTTGTGATAGGCTTAAGAATGGCTTTAGATGTGTGCTAAAATAACTACCAATGCATTTCCAAGACGTCTGCTGAGTGGTTTGGCAAAATGTGAATCCGTGGTTGTGTAACCACTACTTGTCAGTTTGTCTTACTGTGGCGATTTGTGTGTTGCTGTGTTACTGGAAGCTATCCCACCCATATTTCAAATACTATCGTGGTTAGCCAAGGGCAACAGGTTTCAGCAAAGCTTACAGACTAAACACTAGTAATAATAGGCTGTTCACTTCTGGAGGATTAGCTACTGAAAATCTTAGTAGCAGCTGTGGAACAATGTCAGATATAGTGCTGGACTATGAACTCCTTAGGTTGGAGAGCACTTAAAACAGGGATCAGCAACAGTAGCTGCAACATTGAGGTCAAACGTAACAATTGTGAAAATGGCCCAGGACTGGGTGGTGGTCTATTTTGTTGTGACTTACAGGGTCGCTATGACTCGGAACCAACTCATTGGCACCTGATGAAGCATGTGTACAGAAAGAGAAAAGGCAAAAATGAAGGTAAGCCCAAAAGTATTGGTACCAAATCATAGAAACTTTATTAAACAGAAATATCAAAATGCTTGTTTCTTGACATCTCCATCTAGGTCTGCCCACATTTGAAGGTGGTTTTTCCAGCGTTAACTGTGCCATGTCAAAACAGAAGTGTTGTCATCCTCGAAGGACTCAAAATGTGTGCATCTGTATGTTTGAGTTTGGGAAACAAAAGGAGGTCTGAAAGGGCAAGATCAGGGTTGGAGAGAAGATGGGGCAACATAATAATGCTAAAACAGCTCTCGGTACCCTCAAAGGATGAGCCAGGTGTATCGTGATGGGAAAAAAATTCCAGGCAACTTCCTTGGCCTTTTTCCTTGGCAATGCCTTTTCTTTTTTCAACTTCATAAGCCAGCCCCTGCAATTGTCCTGTGTCCTCCAATAAGATCTATCAAGATTATACCTGTGGGAGTCCCCCTAAAAACTTATAACCTTCTGAGCTGACTTCTCTGTGTTGGATTTAACTGGCCCAGGGGGGGAAAAAACACCTTGGAAATCATTGTTTTGATTGGACCATGCTCTCTAGGTTTGTACTGAAAAATCTAAGACTAGTCTTCAGTTACCATTACTTCCATAAAATCAGCATGAGCTCTGATCTGATTGCTGAGGAAAGTAGCTCCTTAGTTGATCTTCATGCAATGCATTTGGCTTCTGAGGGCCAAGATGTTGCCTTAAAATTGAAAATGCTGAATGATTTAAGAGCCCAGATTCAGTAGCATCAATTTCTCAATTTCTGTTAGTTTCTTCATTCTACTGAAGCTTTCTGGCCTGCTTTAAAATGTTTGATCCATATAAAAACTTGTTTTATGTGAGGCACTATTCCCATAAACTTAATGTAAAATTTTGATCTTTTGGAAGGTGTCCAACTGAAATTTGTAGAAAATTTATGTTAGCCCTGACTCAAAATCATTCTTTTAAGGGCATGCATGCGCACACACATCTTTTAACATCACCCACACAAGACTGAGACACGTTGATTACTGAGACAACTTGTCAGCGGCCATCCATTGATTGCAGGGCCATGCTTGAACAAGTTTTGTTCGGAATAAGCCCATAGGTATATTAACTAGGAACCCTAACAGCAATACATCTTGACTTACTACTTTAACATTATGAACCTAGTTTAAAAGTATATGGGTGTTCATTGTGGCACTTTTTATAAAACAGGAAAAACAGCACCAAAAAAAAAGGGAAACCCGTAAAAGCAGCACAAAAATGAACATTTAGGTATTAAAATAGGGTTAAAAACACACCATAAAACCCAAATTGCTGCCATCAAGTTGATGCAGATTCAGAGTGACCCTATAGGAGAGGGTAGAACTGCCCAGGTGAGACTGCAAGACTAACTTTATGGGGGTTGAAAGCCCCATCTTTCTCCCTCAAAATGGGGTAAGCCAGCAAGCAAACACTGGAGTGAGAACAAAAATAACCTTGACGAAAACGGACAGCCTGGTGGGGGAAGAGGCCAGCTGTTAGCAGCCACGTGGTGCTGGCAGAGGTTTTCCAGGTCTGGAGCATTTCAAGTTCCCAACAGCATAGCTGGACAGAACTGTACCAGGGCAGAAGTAGGAGGTTACTGCCTCTGGCTCTAATGACTCTGGTTTGTGGGGGCCTCTCCTCTCCTCAACCCAAACTTGGAAAAAACATCTTGCCTATGTGTGAGATAAAATTCAAAATGGAGGGGAGGTTATCTTACTCCCCCACATTACAGAAGTCAAGCATGTAATTAGTTTAAAGATACCTGAAATAAATGTTCAGAATTGGCATAAAAACCAAAAGTGCCCTCTGTGCAGAGAGGATTTTTTAGGGGGAGCATCAGCCAGCACATTCTAGCAAGCGGCTCTTCCCAGTCCATCTTTTCTCTGGAAGTATCTGACAGAGTTGCTTCAACATTAGCAAGTATTAGGAAAATGGGTCAAGAACTAGCACCCTGTCTCTTCTGCTAAGAAGGGTAGTGAGAAAAGAATCTTCAGGAACATTTACAAAAGGGGATAGACAAGAAGGTCCAATGGGAGAGTTGCTGGGTCAAAACCAAATTCTGACAAACTATCACTCTTCACACCAGGGACTTGGTTTGTCCCATTGTTGGAAACAGATTTTGCTTCTGTGGAGCCCCGGTGGCAGTGAAGTGGGGGACTGCAGCCGTCTGTGGCTAGAGTCTAATAAAACGGCCTTTACCATAAACGGCGAGGGTTATGAGGCACCTAGTCAAGAAGGGGAGGTGGCTCGCCTCTTAACACCATGGAAGCTGAGCAGCAAGGGAAGGGTTACCCTATGGGGTGGTGGGGCTGGTAATGATGTCACACTGGGTATTTTTAGTGGAAACGAGCTAGGATATAAAACCAATTCTACTGCCATCATGTTAATTCTGGCTCGAGATAAACTTGCTATGAGATAAATATTTTAATTTCATCTTTCCACAGACTTTTGAAGCTCCCTTGTACAGGGTACAGAACTGCCTCTTAGTTTCCAGGCTTGTAAATGTCTACAAAAGCAGAGTGCCACATCTTTCCCAGCTGGTGGGTTTGAACTGTGACCTCTTGGTTACCAGCCAAGTGTTTTATTTCCTGTACCATCAGAGCTCCGCAACTTTGCATATTCTATGGCCAAGTAAATAAAATAGTAAGTAGTAAACCACAGCTGGCAAAAAGATGACTTTGGACCAATTCCAAAGGTTGGTCATAAAGATTAGGCACGTTAAGAATTGGAAGGAAAAAGAGACACAATTAATTATCAAACTTTAATCGATAGACTAATCTTACAGGATAAACAATACAGAGCTAGTCAAGGTTACACTTTAAAAAAAAAATCCAGCAGCGCAATCTAATATACTAAGTACGTTCATCTCCTCCCAAACAGGCATTTGAGTTAAAAACAAAAACCCGAACAGAGCATATACCACAGGGAAACATGATACTGATGGATACTGTCAAATAATTCTGCAGAACTTTAGGGGAAAAAAAGGAGTTCTTAGAAATTGAGAAAGCAAGATAAACATCAGCCTGGCAGGTAGATCGACCAGATGTTCTGCACATTTGAGGGCTCCTGCTCACCTTCAGAAAAGTCACCAGGCCTGATTCAGAAGGAAACAGGTGTCAATCCTAACTGCAGAGGACTTTCCTCACAAAGCCTTCAAACGGGATGATCTTTTTCCAAAACAGGCATTAACAGAGGCTAGGAGCAAGAGAAATAGGTCTCCCTCTGACAACAGGGTGGAAAGAGAGCCTGCCCTTGCACACAGCCCTTGGCACACGTATTCTAACCCCATTCCCTTCTCTGCCTCGGACAAAGCAAGGATGGGCCAAGTGCAAGGGCCCAGATGGCTCCTCCAGGCACATGGTTAAAGTAAGAGGAAGAGGAAAAGTAGCCCCTTCGAGCTGAAATATGGCAACATCTCAGAGACATGGCAACAAGGCAAAGTTAATCTCTTTGGCCCTCACAAAATACAGCAGCAACTAAGGAGGCTACTGAGGGTCTCACTTGTGCCCCTATTATATCCACAAGACTATAAGAAAGTGCATCCTTAGTTCAGTTAAACTTCAAAAAGCTAATGCTACTTGCAAATGTCCCATCGTTAATGAAAAGACTTCAATCCAAGAGTTCCAAGACCTAGAGAGACTTGTCTTTTCTAAGTTTTCCAACTGGACTGAGGGGAGCGGAGAGGGACTGGGCCTCCCAGGGATTACACTGTCATTCTGCCAAGTCACCTCAGGGAGGGGAGCAAAAGGCATGACACCTGTGAGTGAAGACCTGCTGCAGAAGGATCACCAGCAGTTCAAGTTGTGAGATAGCAAGCCCATCAGGAGGCCCAGTGAGTATCCGATCCGGACAAGATGGCAGCCTCCTTTGCCCCATGGGGACTGGCGAGCAGGCCTTCCCCAGATCGTAGTTCCAGGTCCCTCATTTGGAATCAGTTCTTTCTTTATCCACCTGCATGCCCTCTGCCACAGCAAGTGAAGGTCAGTACCTCAAGGAAACAACTGTACCTCTGACAGATTAGAGACAGCAAAGAAAATGTACAGAAATAATCCTGAGAAAGAAAAGAACACTGTTACGCTACTGAAGGGGAAGAGTGTTTCCATCTGCCCACGCTGCAGTGGGGCTGTAAGAAGACTATGAAGAGACCAGTCACAACCAATGTGACAAACAGTGAAGACTGCTGTGAGCAGACCTCAACTGGATTCAAACTCTTCCCCCAGTGGCTCTGGTGCTGTCTCCTCTGCTCTCCCAGGAGGCCCGCTCTCCTGAGTGGAATGTTGGAAGGTCTTCCTTGCGGACAGGGTCAGGAGCCAGAGCTAAGATTGTTCTAGCAGATTCAGGGAGCTCTGTAAAGCAATACTCAACAGCTCTGTATGAAAAGGTGTCATTTACATTACTGTCTGTATACAGTATTTTGAAGTAAGGAAAAAAGCACCATTTTACTTCAAATAAAAAGGCTCACGCAGGCTTTGGTCCTGTCTGGAAATGACACCAGCCTGAGTGGGAAGCGGTTTGGCTCCCTGGGAGCAGGAGACAGCGGAGCGCCCACTTGCACAGGGTGAAAAGGAGATCAGATGGCACAGGAGCCACTCCAACAAGGTCAAGGAGAAGTGTAGGAGAAGGCCAGACGCGGAAAGTGACACCTGCTTGGAGGGCCCACCCGGGGTGCCAGGTCAAGTCCCCCGGACAGGAATGTTGGCAAACGAAAAGGGCAGCATGTGAACTGCGGCAATGCTTACTTGCTACGTTGTCACTCCCTCTGCAGCACTGCCACCTGCAGAGGAGCAGCTTTGACAGGGAGCCAAGCAGGAACGGCAGGTCATCAAGGACAGAAAGGTTGTCGTTACTACTCCGGGGTGAAAAACAGGCAGTGTGTTTTGGGGGTGCTACACTTCACATATGTAGGTATTTCTCCATAAAAAGCAAGCGAGGATTTTCCTGCCCAGATGCAGAACTTGGCACCAACTACCGATCACAAAAAACTCGAGAAGCTTGAGTCTGTCTATGTGGGCTGGATCCCAAAACTCCAGCTTACGAGGGGAGGGTGTGGCTAACCATGAACTGGCTCACAAGGAACAGTCATCTTGGGCGAACACATGCGAATACACTTCACAGAGCGAGGGCTAACAGACTAGAATCCAACATGTGAGGTTTGGAAAATCTCTCACCAAACCGTATTAGAAGAACCTGCGACCAGTGAGAGGAGAATTGCCAAGACAGCAGCAGAGAAACAGCAAACAGCACAAAAGAATCTCAGTCCCCAAGAGACTGTCCCTCATTTCAGAGTCACTCAAGCCATCAGGAGACAACAGAAGCTCACGTGTACCAAGGACAAAACAGCCAAGACCAGAAGAGGGTGACCACACCATGAAAGCATTATCCCATTTTCATTGTGTTAAATACAACAAGCCGACCTACTAGGCCAGCTGTCTTACTGAGAAAGGCAGTAGCTCTGAGCCTGGGGTAAAGGACACTTGAACTGAACACATGAGCAGAAGGACCAAATGGAGAAGCATAACTGAAGGAATCATTTGGACTGCTGAACAATTTCTCGAAAACTTCCAACTTCTCTGGGTCTGTGGCTACCTGAACTCCTCTAGCTGGCTCCAAAAAACTTGATCCGCCCCGGGGAGCCCTGGTTTCTCAGCACACAGGTTGTGTCTCAAAGCCACACTCATAAGGGCTCCAAATGACCAGTAAGCTAGTGGAGCAACCTGCCAGAGATCAGAGCCAAAGGACAGGGCTTTAGACAGGCGTTGCTTTAGATACTCTGCTGCCCAACCAATGTCAGAAGAGCAAGGGGAACAGCTCCCTGGACAAGCCTGGAGAGTCCTTCCACTCCCGCAACCGCCCACTCATTCCCAAGCAACAGTGTGGCGGGTGGGAGGATGCCCAGGAAAGGACGCGTTGATGAGGTACAAGAAGAGGACTGACATCTTTGGGGTTTCTTAATAAAAACTAATCTAAAAATGTGAAAAGAATTAGAAATTAAATCTTAATCGATGGACAGAAAATATATGGCTTACAATTTGCATACAATTTTATAAACAAAAAGGGGGGTATAGAAAAAAAATAAACTTTTATGCTAATGCAGCCCAAATAATAGCAACTGAAGATGTACGAAAATACTTCCACTGAAATGACTTGACAACCCAGAAAGCTTTGGATCATTTTCTTCTCAACACTGGCAGACCTACTCTGAACCACATTCAAGAGTATGCCACACCACACGTTCAGAATTCAGATTTATTGAGTTCCTCCGCACTGACTTTAAAAATGGTATGAAGCTGACTGCAAGAAAGGGAACCGGTGATTTTAAGTTAAAATTAAGCTAATGGTGAAAGTACATCACCTCTGGCTTCGGTCAACACATCACCTTAGATCGGCTATTTTGTGTGTGTGTGTGTTGTTTGTTTTTTTTTGAACCAAGTTCCAGAACTCTGAAATCCAGGGATGCTGCAGGCCTCTCCCAGCAATGTCCTTCACTTTGGGTCAGTCTCCTGGGCCAGAGGTGAAAGTGCTTTCAAAAATACTGCCATTTCCCCAGCACAGTGTCTTTGATTGCATCCACATATTGAGTTGGAACCCAGTACACCCAGTAGTAAGAGGCTTCCGTGGGACCCAACTGAAACGCCTAGAAGGGAAAAAGGAACGAAAGGCTAAGGAGGCAGAGCAACACATAGGGGGAGGTGGGAAGTGAATTAGTTAAAAAGGGAAGGTAAATCAACCACCACAAACTACATGGGCAGCATTCTCCTAACAAGTCATTAAAAAAAAAAGTTTAGCACAGCTAACCCTAACTCAGCGGTTCTCAAACTTGAGGCTACCTCAAGATCAACTGTTTAAGCACCTTGGTGTGTGGCCCCCTCTCCCCCACCACACACACCAAGACTGATTCAGTGAGCCTGGGGCCCAAGAATTTGCATTTCTAACAAGGTCATGGACGCTGCTATTGTGTTGGATCTGAAGACCTCAGTTGGAGAACCACTGCCCTGGAACCACCACCACACATGCACCAGGAAATACAACATGGATGCTCAGATTTCCATCGTCAAAACAAGATATAAACAAGTTACATCCCCACCAAAAGGGGAATGCATAATTAAGAGTTGATGTGACCTCCATATGAATACTGGTGACTTTTATAAGGAATGAACTGGATTTAGAGAGAATATGAACAGACCTTAATGTCTACCCTGGCCCCACTCCACCCCCAAAAGCAAGTTACAGAACAATACGTACCAAGACACCACTTACGTCAGCTGAACAAACACAATACTCTGTTTTCATGGATTTATAAGGAAATGAAAAGCAGAGAGAGATGGCAGGGCACACACAGGAATAATGGTGAAGGGAAGAGGGGAGACAACGAGGAAGCCATCACTGGTAAACTATTTCTTTTACTAAAAAAAAAATTATTAGTAAAATATTTGTAATGGTCAATTCTTGGTGATGGATATCTGGGTTTGTTAAGAGTACATCTGCTAAAAAAAAAAAAAAAGTACATCTGCTTCCTGTATTTTTAAACATTCTCTAAAATGAAAAAGCAAAGCCAAGCGAACTTGTCTATGTGAACTATGGCACATTGACTGAGGTGGCATCTATAAAACGGAAATGAAGACCTTGGTTCTTAGACAAAGGTAAAGTGGTTCTAAAGTGGTCTTGAGAGAAAGGGGTGTAGGGGGTTCTGAGAACTACTCTCTGCCAGGAATGACTCGACAGAACAGAACCTTCAGGCTAAATGCTGTCATTGCCCAGTTACTCCATTCCTTAAAATATATTCAGGATCGCCGCCTCCCACCCATCCCCTGATGTTTTAAGTCCCTATGACCAGGCGGCTGCAAAATTGGAGTTAAGAACTCTTTAGGGGCAAATGGTTAGGTAGCACGTTTCAAAAGGGGGTGAGGAGCCCAGTAGAAAAACATCTAAATTTGAAACAGAAAATAACGAGGCATGCAAAAGCTGTCAGCCCAGCAGTCCACAATCCTCGTTTTAAAGATCATGCCGAACGTAGACTGGCAAGAAGGCTCAGTGACAGTGTCATCACTTGAAGAACACAGCACCCAAGAAAGGGCCCTACAGCCCAGGGACTGCAGAGTGCCAGTCATCCAGAATTTGGCCCCTTCCCAGGAAAAGTGGGGACCTGTGGTGAGCCTAGCAGAGAGCTGCTACAATGCTGGATTCCATTCTCCTGCATCTCTTGCCAACCTAACAGCTATCAGATCCCGAGTAGTTCCTTCCCTTAGGAGATGGCCCCACATCGTTGCATCTCTAGTGGCTGCCTCCTAAGATGGAGACTGGCAGGTCTGCCTCGTCGTTGCCCCCTCTGGTCAAGTCCCTGTCACAGCATCTTCGGGTGCTGAGATGGCTGAAATGCATATATATGGAAAGCAGCCCTCTTGTGAACAGTGCTGGGGAGATCGGGGGGGTGTAGCTGCTGCTTTCCTCTGGGTGTGGAGTCCTTTCTCAGCAGCTGTGGACAATGCCTCCCATCATCCCGTCCGTCAGAGTGGACGGCTGAGGAGTCCCCTGACCTCTTCTTCACCACACATGACCCACAAGCCACCCTCCTAACGGCCCTCAGGCGACTGTACGTGGGAAGATGACCATTACAGGAAAGAGACCTTCTGCCACTCTCACCGAGGCCAGTGGAAGGTTTTTTGTTTTTCAAGTAAGACAAATTTTAAAACCAAATATCCAGAAATCATTCCTTCTCTCTACATTTATTTTTCTGGTCTAGAAACAAAATATTACAAAATAAGAGGGAGGCAAAAGCGGCATTTTTGAAAGACACAGAAAAAAAACCTATCCTCTTTAAATGGCCAGAAAGGGAAGAGGCTGCAAAATGATGGAACTTGGAATAGCGTCATGAGCAAGTTCTAGGAAGATGAAGAGAGCATGAGTCTTGGAAGAGTGTGCCCATTAAAGACGGAGTTTTCTCAATGAAAATGTTCTGTGGGAAACCCAATCCCTGCTAGAATAAGCAGAAGCAGGATCTAGTGAGAGGCTCGGCCCAGCCAGCGCTACTTACCATCATATGGTAGTCTTCGTGTCCTTCGATAGGTTCACTGACCACATTTTTAATGGAGCCCATGGGCAATTTCTCAGTCCGCTCTAAGTTGAGAGGGATTACAGTTATTATTCAACAGCCCTCCTGTTCTGACTCAGCGGTCCCTCCTGAGGGCGGGGGTGCTGTGGGAGCTACATGTCTCGGATGCCCTCTAGGGAATTCAATGAGAAGGGTCTTCGCCTTTCTTTGGCAGCAAATGGGGAACTAAGATTCTTGATGGTCTATTAAGGCTCTTTGGGAGCAAAGATAGATATATCTGTCCTGGTTTGATTTTAAAGTGTGATGATTATTAAATATGAGAGAAATTCCTCTGTTCCCCACTGTGCAAACCCAGCATGGGCTAAGGTCTTTGGTATCTGGGTTAGAAAGAATGAACAGGACCACGAACAAAGATCCAGGAATGTCTCCCTGACCTGCTCAAGGGGTTTGGACCTTACATTCCTCCACACTGCTCGCTCCCGACAACCCCCATCCCCACCCCCACCCACTTTAAAATGCCCTTTAAGCATGTATAACCTCTGGTGATAAGCACTTTGGGTACTACTTATCCCATGGTGTCAAAGGCATTTTGCAACGATTTAAGAATGGCAGATAAGAAAGAGGAGGCGGCGAGGGAGCCTGGAGTGAGATGGGCGTGCTGGCGGTGAGCCGAGTGCAGCGGGGCTGGGGGAAATGGAAGGGGTGTGGAAGCCCTGCCTGCCTAACAGGATGTGCCGGCTTGGAAGGCTCAGAGACCTCAAGTTCAGAGGGCTACTCTCAGCCAGCTATTTTTGGGGAAAACCTCATAGACAGCCTTCTCAGAAAGAAAAAAATCTGAAAAAAGGGTAGAAATTGAAAACAGGCAGGTGGACAGAAATTGACTAGGAACTTATAGAGACCTGGGTTCTAGTCTGGCTAGTACTTGGGAAGGATTTTACTTCCATTTTATCCATCTCTGAAAAGTGGGGACAGGAGGGAGTGGTGCTTGCAGAAGACTACTCAGGCTTTGACTTTCAGTGGCTCTAGGCAACACCTGCAGGAGCCCAGGTGGCAGGTGGGTGGAGTGTTGGGTTTCGAACCACAAGGTTGACAGTTCAAACCCACCAGCATCGCTCCTCAGGAGAGGAGGGTGTCTGCTCTTGTCAAGATTTACAGCTTTGGAAACCCTACGTAGGGCCACCCATGTAAGACTCCACTTAGTGGTGGTTGGCTGGCAGGATGCAACACCTGACAAGCAGTCATCTCTAAGACAAACTTTAAAAAGTGCCCGTGTTCTTGAAATGTTGGGAGATTTCACACAAAAATCTGATTTCTGGCTTCTCTTGAAAACTGAACGTTTTACCGATTTTGGTCTCACAGTCCTGAGTGATAGCGGTCAGCTCGGATTAGACTCAAAATGCCCCCTAGAAACAGGCCAAATGCCCACTAATTGGCAGCTTCCTGATGGCCTGCCTGGATTGTGCTTCTTGCTCTGTGGTGTCTGAGGCTCTAAGCTCCGCCTTCTACACAGTAGGCCCTGGAAGGCCTAAGCCCAGAGCAGCCTGCTCACCTGGTTAAGCACACTGTCAGGAAGCCCAATGGCTGGCCACTCGACAGCAGCTTCCTGCCAGCAGAAACATGAAGCCAGCAGTTTGTTGCCAACTCTCTGAACACGGTCCTCTGAGTGCGCGCACCACTCCTGGACACATGAGAAGAGCGTGCCGGCCCCACAGGCTCCTGAGCAGGCTCGGCTGGGAGTGCAAATGCCAAAATTTTAAAGCCTTGGTCAGCCTCTGAGGATGTGAGTAGTTTATGAAGCTTTCAGCAGCCCTGAAACCCCAATACCTCAATCTTCCTCTAAAGCTCGTCCTTTCTGCCAAAGCAGGAAGTGGTTGTTGCTACAAGATAAAATAAAACCTGCAATACAGGTATAAGAGATTCTTATTATTTTGTCTCTGCAATTACGACTTGCTTTCTATACAACTCACACACCAACAATCTTCCTAAGAAACCCACGACCATTTACAAGGGCGGCCCTCCTTCAGAGCTGGCCGCCTTTAACCATGACGCCGACCCCCTGGTCTAGTTTGCCCACAAGAGAGGGGAGAAGACCAGCCAGAGGCAGGATGCCAACAAGTCAATGCAAGGATAGAGAACAACAGAATCACCTAGTCATTAATAAGTGAGGTTCTGACAAAGGCAGGGCAGCTACAACTGAAAAGGGCAAGGGGGTTGCGGGGATGGGTGACAGGCGGGCAGAATGATCTGGCCCAGCACAGGGATTTAAAGCCTTGGAAAATTGCGGAAGCCTTGAAATATTTAACCATGCAGTTAGAGTCCAGGGTGAAATGAAGAATACAGCATGTTATCTTAAGATTGTTAAGGAAAAAAAAGGGGGGGGGGGGGCAGGAATCAAGCACTTTGGCATTTGTCTTTCAAAACCAGCCTAAGGTTGAAAAATAAGAAAATTCGGTGAATGATACGATGCTTCTCCCCACCACCCGTACCTTGATTATTTTTTATAAAGCTATGGTCCCATAATAGGTAGTTGCAGACTCATCAGTCTACTTTGGAAGCCAATTAAGCACTGCTGAAGAGGGGACCCCCACCCCCTATACTTCTCTTTAGAATTTACGTCGCATACTGAATACCTACAGTGCTGGCCAGAAACAGGTGAATTTAGGCATGTTCCGTTCCCTCCGGGAATCTAACGGGGACAGACAAGTCAGAGAGTAATGAGTGCTCAGGGGATCAAATGGAGGAGCGCTCTATGAATAGAAGCGGCGGCAGCAAGTCATGTGGAGGGTGGAGGAATACCAGGAGGGCACTTCAGTAGGGGCCATGGGAGACTTTAACATCAAGGAGGGAAGAAGGCATTCCAGGTACGGGCACAGTGTGAACCAAGGCCCGGAGCTGTGCAAAGCGTACCTAGAAGTTGAGGGGGTGATGCAGGGGAAATACACTGGGCACGCAGCAAGCAGGGCAGGGCGCTGGGCCCAAACTTCCACTAGGGCCTTTGTGCTGAGAACCCTGGACACTAGACTTTGGCATCTGAACTGGGCCTTAGAGAGCCAGGTTTTAGGGCAAAAGAAATCACTGACAGCAATAAATAAATAAAACCCAGTATGGAAGACAAATAGGACAGACGAGAACACATATGGGGCAAGTTAACTTGCTTTCAACCGAAAGTTAAAAGACACTGGGGCCCATTAAGTGGCACAATATGATGACGGAGAAAAGGACAGACGGTCTCTGGAGTATGACTAGCAAGGCCAATTACGTAGCCACTGGGAGAGGGAGAAGGGAGGACAGTCGGGAGACACAACATCCCAGTCAGCCCGATCCGGAAGCAGTGCATAGGCAGGGGCAGGATAGGCAGAAGCCACAGGCAGGGGGGTGGGGTGGAAAGGCAGCGCGCGGCAGGTTCCGAGGCAGGAATCGGGAAAGCTTTACCTAGCACAGAGTCAAACTCTTGACCTACCAGGACTAGACGGGTGCTTGCGAGTGGCTGAAGCTGGCTGCATGTCACATCACTGGGAGCAGTGGGTACTGTGGCATGGCCCAACTAACCACTACCAGCTCCAGCTAACTGTCGTCGTCATGTAAGAAAGCAGGCCCACAAGGGCCGGATCTTTTGTTATTTTTCAAGAGAAGCCAAAAAAACAAAAAACAGAAAAAACCGGGATGGGGTGGGGGGATGGGATTATGTGAAATCTCGGGGTTTTATTTCAGATTGTGGGAAAACCTATAAACTCTTGCCTGTGGACCAGACATGGCTTTTGGGCAACATGTTTGGGACCAGTGATTCTATGCAACCAAAGAACCAATTTTTGATAGACTGGCACTGAGAGCAGACAGAGAATGAGGGCAGAGGGTCCAAACAAAAGGCAAGCATCTAAAAGCAAAATCAAAAGCCAGAGCAGGCAAAGCACAGTAAAGAGAAAGAGATGTCAGAACGATCGCTGGAATTGCACCAGAGTGTGTGCCTTGGGGTCTGGAGCCGGGAAGCCGTGGAAGCACTAGCGCACGTACCTTTCGTGCCGATCCACAGCTGGTCTTGCTCTAGCTTGAAGGTGAGCCGCACTTTCCCTCCAGACTTATTGTACATGCCGGATAAGGGGACTGGCGGCAGGCGCTCCTGGAGACACGAGAGTGTGGTCAGAGAGGGAGGGCCGAGACACAGCAAGATGAAAAGAAGCAACTGGAGGTAAGGACCTAACTCCAGAAATCTCAGAAAGCAGGTCTGGCTCATGACTGCAGGATGGTCACCAAGGAGTGTGGCTCACCTGGGCACCCTTGACCGATGGCATCACATCTTCGGGTTTTCCTTTGTCCAACACTTTCCTGTGTTGCTGTAATGCAAGTTAGGGGAAAATAAGTGAATCTGATTACCTCTCTGGAAAACAGGCTAAAGAAGCCCTCAGTGCTTTGGTCACTGCCCTAACAGGGCAGTGATGGAGCTCGCCTCTGCCTCTGTGTCCCACAGTCACCACCAGCCCTCTGTGCCTACCGAGCACTCGAAGTGGAATTCTGCAATCCAGAGCGGAATTCCCTAGCTACTTTTCATCAGCCACAAGAGGTTCCTGGATGAGACATGGTCGGTCGGTCGCTCTTGGGCAAAAAGAATTTCAGATTGCCAGTGCAAACACTCTGCTCTCTGCTTCCACCACCAATGAAGATACAACATCAGGCTAAAGAGCAGAGCCACAGGGATGTGCCTTGCCGCCTGGTGCAAAATGACAGTCCTGGCTGTCCACTTAAAATCCCAAGACACTACAGGGATGCTGGTCATCAGCCAGCCTGCCTGGAAGGGACATTTCTCCAACAGACACCTAGTTCAGTATTTCATGGAGGCTTCCTGGTCTACATCCCAACCCCAGCTGAACAGGAAGCTGCTAAGCCAAATTTCCACACAGAACTAGGCAATACTTTATAACTGGACAGCACAGTAAGTGTTCTAAGCATCTTCCTCAACTCTCCCTTAAAGAGCGCTCTGGCCAGGCCCAAACACCTGGGTTTTGTTTCCTGTCTTTGCTTTGTAGGTAGAATCCTTTTTTAATTTAGTGAAACGAGCTACAGGGTAATGAGGGAGCAAATTAAACATGTAATTGTCCTTAAACCCACAGGGACAGTCTACCATGCCCTATAGGGTCACTATGAATCAGAATCGACTCGATGGTAGTGAGTTATTGTTGATTTTTTCTTTTTAAACACCAGGTGGCCAAGAGCCAGTTCAAACCTCTGCTGCACAGAAATCCCCTGGAAGGAATGTGCTTTAACACTACCAGATTAGCAGCACGACATTCCCGAACACGCTGAAAGCAAGCCAGGGAGCTGAGTGCTTCTCAAAACTGGCATTAATACAACAAAGCAGCCCGGGTGAGAGGCATTAAGTGAGTCACAGCTTGCGAGTGCTTTTGAAGAATGCTCCCTGCACTGTGGAGGGCAGTTCTAGGCCTGTTAAGCAACTACTAGTAACTTCAAACCTGTATTTAAGAGGCAGGCTATGTTCAAAGGGTGTGACCAAGACAAACATCTTTTCACATAACTATTTCATGCATGGCAGAGGAAGACAGGAAAATCTACATGAACCCAATTTGCTGACCCCATACTCATGATGGTGGGGGGACAGGGAATGAGACATGACCAAATAAACACCTTTTAGATGTTGACACAGGTTTACAAATGTTTAGCTGAATCTCTCCTGGACAGGGGTCTTGTAATTCAGTTTAGGTTTGATAAAGGCAGCGTAATTTTAAAAAACATCCCTAAAGAGTCTAGGGCAGTACCATTTTATCAAACATGTTAATATTTTTGTGACATTTCATAAACATACCTATTCCCGTTAATTGTGACAAATAAGACTAAAATCCAGCCCATCTGCTTTGGTCAGGTTTTTTCAAACTGTTGAACACAAGTGTGGCTTTAAGATGTCTCTTGGGTTAGGGAATCATGAACGGTGATCACAGACCTACTCGTCAAGATTGTGTGCTTCTCACTCTGGTGCCCATATATGCTCTGGTGCCCGTGGTCCCCATGTTGGAGCAAGGTGGTGACGCCACTCAGGACCCTGGTTAAATAGGAGTTATCTATCTCCCTTGGCGCCACCCCAATGGCGATGGGGGCTCCGCAGCAACGAGTGGGGGTGGGGGTGATGAGAGCACAGCACCAAGCCGCCCAGCCTGCCCGCCCACAGTAAAATACCATATGCTGTCCTTCCTATTAACAGTTGTAATGGCTGTAACATGGACACAGACAAGGCTCAATCCCTTCCATCCAAAATGAACAACAGGGAACGTGGAAAATCACACCTCTGCTTCATGGGTCAGGAGGGGAAAAAAAAGGAAAATCAGTGCTGTTATCTTCCCCGTCAGCTTCGCGTGGTTTCCTGAAAGGGCTGGTTTTAGAGGAACCTCTGAGCACTGTGATTTCCCTGCCTAATCAGAACAGGGCTTGCTGACTTGGGGAAAGCCACAAAGCAAAGACAAAAGGGGTGCTTAATTCCAGGAAAGGCACTTTTCTCTGGCAACCAAGGGAAGAGAGAAACCAAGGTCTGATGCCTTTCGATAGCTGCTCTGACACCTGCCTGTATGAAGGCTGTATCCTAAGGTAGGTAGACTTGAGACGCACTGACCCGCCAGATGAGACCAAGCTGCAAATCTCAGGTAGTTGTCACCTCCACTCAACAGCCAGCCGCACCCAACTGCTGCCATAAATTTCCATCATGGGCCCTGTCCGAAAAGGAGCTTATTCTAGGGAGAATGTAGCCAGCCAAGGCTCGAGAGGACAAAGCCTCAAACTTCTCAAGACCAACAATCGCAAAGGACTTACTTTCTGCCGGCACAGAGGCTCCTTCTTGTTTTCCTCTGCCTTTGAGTCCTGCTGGGCAGCATCTTTGGGTGTGTTTACTGCTAGAACGTCATTTATCGTGGAGCCAACTACCATGATCTTGGCTCCACTGGTCACTTTTATTTCCCTCAATGTTTTATCCTCGGGAACAAGACCCTTATACATGACCTTTTGCATGGCAGGCGGGAGACCTTAGGAAAAAAGGTAGAACACAGAACATGAAAACCAAACACCAAACCCACTGCCACTGAGTGGCTTTGATCTCATGCTAACCCTATAAACGGTTTCGAGGCTGTAAATTTGTATGGGTCCAGACAACCTCAAAATTCTCCTGCAGAGCAGCTGGCGGTTTGAACCGCCAACCTTTCGGTTCCCAGTCCAACACTTACCCTGCAGCACACCACCGGGCTCCTTGACAATGAAAGAAAGGAACAACTAATGCCTCTTGGCAACAAACCAGGTAGGTACTAAATATTGGCTCTACCACTCAAGAGCCGTGCACTTGGGCAGTTCACCATCTCTTTGAGCCTGTCTTCCAAGCTTTGTAATAAAGATGGTAGTCACCTGTTGCTGTCTAGTCAATTCCAATTCATGGTGACCCCATGTGCATCAGTAGAACTGTGCTCTGCAAGGTTTTTTTTTATAGTTCAAGGTCTGCTTGTTGACCTTTAGGAGCGTTTTCCAGTCCAGTCTGATGGGGTGCCACACCCAGCCCCCAAAGTCTATTTTTGGTACTCTCTTTGGACTCTTGAGCTCTGCTCCCCTTGCGGTTGTTTCACGCCCTTAGTGTTTTGCCTCGCTGTGGTGGGGGTCCTGCAAGGTTTTCAATGATCGATTTTCTGAACTAAACTGCCAGGCCTTTCTCCCTAGGCACTCACTGGGTGAACTTGAACTTCCAACCTTCCTTAGGTTGGCAGCCAAGCAATTAGCTGTTGGTGCTACGCTGGATGCTCATGGGCACGACAGCAGTTCCTAAAAAGAAAGGCCGACTACAGAACACTTAGACTACAGGCAGTCACTGAACTCTAAGTCAGAATCACAAAACAAATCCTTTAATAGTCTGTAAGTCTGCTTTCACTCTGAATTAACTAGGCCAACCCCTGCAACCAGTCACTTGCTACACATGCAGCTTTTAAATCACTGAAAAGTCTTCAAGCCTTTTCTCCCACTAAAATAAGGTTATAGAAGGGCCACATGGCCCAGTCTAACCTCTGAAATCCTTGAGAGTTCAGGATGGCTCTCAGACCACAGGAATGGCATGAACAGTACCTGCTCACTAAATATGTGCTACCCTTCCCTCTAGTCACCCAATCACTCAAATACTGAGAACCCAGAGGTGCTGGAGATACCGAGGTCACTAAGAGACAGTTTCTAGTCTGGTGGTGCTTATAGGCGATGCAGAGAAAGTGTAAAAAACAAAACAAAATCGTAATTCCCTTCAGATGGTCAAGTGCTGTGCACAAGATAGATACGTAATTAGAGCGTCTGTGAAGGAGCCTGCATGACGGCTAGGAGCAGTGTTTCCTAAACTTTCCTGATGAGAATTACCTCAGATATTTGCTAAAAATAAACCCTTGGCCACATGCCAGACTCCCTGAATCATTATCTCCAGGGGGAAGGGCCTGAGAACGGAGTATTAACCAGTGCCTTAGGTGATTCTTATCAAGTGCTTTTCCGGACAGCCCCAGTTACTAGCTTGGGACTAGGCGTCAGACTGGGCTCAAATCCCAGCTCAGCTGCTTGCTTCTTACTCCATGATCACGGGCCTCGTTTTCCCCATCTGTACATTGGGCGCGTTAGCACTTAAGACTCTGGAGAGCTGGCGTGCGGTCTCCAGGTCAAAAAGCTCCCCAAACAGCACCAGCAACCAGGAGGGCTGGCAGAGGCCGGCTGTCGGTCGGGATCACTTACCTGTGAGCGCGTGAATCTTCTGTTTCAGCTCGGAGCCCGTGCTGTCCAGGGGGAACTTCACCTCGTGCTTGGTCTTGTTCCAGAAGATCTTCAGGTCCACCAGCTCCTTGCCCGCGCCGCCGCCCGCGTCCTCGCCGTTGCTGACCGAGGCCTGGGCCGCAGGGTC